AACAAATAAATCGATGCAAAAGACGATGCGATATGTGTTGATTAAAGCTATTTCTTAAAAACATCAATTTGTTTGTTTGTTAGCAAAAGTAAAAGATCAATAGCTTAGAACCACTTGCAAGTCATTGGAGAGAGACTCTGCGGACAGAAAGGGGAAGCTGAATTTTTAATTCTTTTTCGCTCTCACTAATCAATAGTTTTTTAATTTCCTTTCACTACTTCCTATTGGGGGAAATGTGCCCAAAATCCATACAAAGGTAGTTGTCCAAAATTAAGCCCCAATTAAATAGCAAAGACTTCCCAGTGAGAAATGAAATTGCAAAATTCTCCATTGGCGCACCAAATTTCCCAAATCACTGATCCCTCGGTAACTTCGGTGCGGAACGAGACCTGACCTCGTTTGTGGGAAATACAGATGAAGCCCATCCGAGACTATCGTCAACACAAGCTTGCAGGAAAGGTTAGAAATGGAAGACAAACACACTAACATGATAACCAAACAACAGAAAGAGTCTGGTATTCGAAAGATGAGCCTTTATGAACAATTCATTTAATTACAAGAAGATAACAACAAGATACAAGGTAATTAAATCACTCTATAGGATAGCAACAAAATATTGTGGCAGTTTCTGTCAATATGGTGGCAGTTTCATGCCAAGAAACGAGCAAAGTCAAATGATAATTAATTATATGACCACAAATAAAGAACATTTCAAACATATTCATATCCACACACACTTACGTAATTACAGAGTTGATAAGAAGCAACCTCTGCCTAAGTTTGTTTGTATTACAAATGTCAATATCTTAAAGAGATTGCTTATAGATTTCACATAATACTAATCCACAAGACACTCAATATTGTCAAGAATGTTAAACATTCACATTCAAGATTAATCTGAACTTCTTCAGTCACTTTCTATTTGCGGCACAAGATAATATGAGGTCAATTTTTTGCTAACACGAAGCTTAGAAACAAAAACTCTACCTCTCACAAGGTTACGTAACCATCTCTTAATCATCAAAGCAAACAGGGCATCCAAAAATGTAAATTTTCGTGATTTTTCAGTATCATCTCTGAAATAAATAGTCCTGAGCGTGTAAACTTGTTCTCATAGGTTCAAAACGATCAAGGGAATTAGTAACCAAGAAAGCAAAACCAACCACGTTATGTCGAGGAAATTATAACAAGATTGAAGATACTATAAATACATTACCCAACCAAGCGTGTTAGGAAACTGCTAAGAAAGTAGGCACTAGAACACAGTAATGATGAACTGCCAAACCAAACTCCAACGAAGACAATTTAGTAGTTTTTCAATCCAAAATCAACATTATATTGTCAGAAATGCGACTAAACGAGTTAAATTTAGTAAAAGCGCAGTAACAATTGTTCTATACTTCCATTCCATGAATAATAGCAAAGGCTTTAAACCCAGCAAGAGGGCCAACACTGTAAAATATCAAAGTGTTCAAGTTATCAACAAAGGATGGAAAAGCACAACCATAAAATATGATTCGTTCTGATCCACAATTAAGAGCAATGTTGTGAACTAAAGGTTCTCCAAGTTATAAGTTCAATTATGCAGAACATAAAATCAATCAATACAAAAATAAGAACACAATTTAAACATATATATATATATATAATAACACATATAATAACACAAGATGAAGTAGCTTCTAGCAATTGCATTTGCAGCAAAATTCTATTTTTATTCAAGTGACATCCAGATAAAAATTAATCCACCAACCAGCATTATCATTGTGGTCTATCAGTCATGAACTGTGTGTACAGCTTCTAAGCTAGAAACGACATCTTAAAGAAGCAACATGTGGAAAAACAATCAAAGATCCCACCAGTTTTCCTTTGATAAAGATTATCAAGTATCCCCCTGCAACCCAGTGCCCTCAAATAGCAAACTAATCCGTATAAGGACACCATTAATCTTTTCATGACAATATCACGAGTATGATAAAGCTATTGAGCAAAGCTAGCAAATGGAATGAGATAACAATCAATCAATCAAACCCATATCTTTGAATTCACCAGGAACTCTTATTGGAATTTTGGTAGTAATTAAGGTACCAACGCACAAACTTCTTCAATCCAGTCTCCAAATCGGTTGTGGGCTTATACCCAAGTTCTCTGTAGGCCAAACTTATATTGGCATGAGTAAACTTCACATCTCCATTTCTCGGCAGAGGCAAGACCTTCGTCTTGGCCTTCACCTTCAAAAGGTTCTACAATATCCTCACAAGCTGTGTCACCGGCACCGGTGAAGTATTCCCCAAATTGAAGACCCTCAACTGAGCATTCCTCTCTTCTTCCCGCCACTCCCAGTGCTTTTCTTCGCCGTGTCCAAAGCCGCCAAACAGCCCTTCACTATATCATCAATGTAGGTGAAATCCCTCGCCACAGTCCCATGATTAAGCGCTTCAAAGATCGTGATCTACTTCCTCTTCAGAATATTCTTACTGAAAGAGAAATACGCCATGTCTGGCCTTCCCCAAGGTCCATAAACCGTGAAAAACCTCAATCCAGTAATCGAAAGCCCGTAGATATGGTTATAAGTGCGAGCAATCTCTTCACCGGCCTTCTTCGTTGCCGCGTAGAGACTCGCCGGCTGATCAGTCCGGTCCCTCTCCGAGAACGGTACCTTCGAATTCAGCCCGTAAACCGAACTCGACGACGCCCAGACGATCGCCGGCTGCGGATTCGCCAACTTCCAGACCTCCAACAGATTCACAAACCCAGCTATATTGCTATGAACATAAGAGCTAGGGTTTTGCATTGCGTACCGTACACTAGCTTGAAATCACGAAGAGAGTTTCAGATTTGAGGGTTATTTTGGGAAGAACAAAAATTTCATTAATGAACTTAAGAGATTCCCGCATAATCTGAAATCAGAAGCAGCAATTGAGCTGCTTCTGATTTCAACCTGAAAATAGCTTTTAGATTCTTCAAGAATTTGTTTTTATGTGTTTATCAAACACATTTTTTAGGAAAAAAAAAGTGCTTTTAGCTTCTCAAAATCACTACCAAACGGAGCCAATTTGCCACATCATTCTAAAAACTCATTAATTTATTATGTTTCTATGAAAGTAAATAAATAAATATATAAAAAAAGAAGAAAAACTTTCTACATAAACGCTCCTTGCCTTGAAACTTCGGGCCCGTTTAGTTCGTTGATTCGAGTTGAGATGTGACTTTATGTGAGAGCTTTTTACTGTAGCAAAAAAGTTAGATGTGATTATTTGTGAGAATTTTTTACTGTAAAAAAACTCGAATCAGCGAAATGAACGGGGCCTTCATATCTCTGGCTCATTCAATTTACGAATTTAAATTTTCAATTCAAATTAAGTTGTAATTTTATGTGAAGTTTTACTTTAGTAAAAAAAAGTTAAATGTAATTTTTTATGAGAACTTTTAACTATAAAAAAACTCAAATTGGTAAAATAAATGAGACCTAAATAAGGACTACTGATAAAGTCCTAAGTATGGACTAGTAGTATGTTTACCTACGCGTAATCGGAATGAGCATGAATCGGAGTGGGCAGGATTCGGAGTGGGTAGGATTTGGAGTGAGAAATCAGAGTTAAAATAAGCTGTTTACTTAGTGATAAGATTCTGAATCGGAGTCATTTCAAATCTCATTCATACGTTTACTTACACCTAAAATCAGAATGAAAAAGTGTGAAAAAGTGTAAAAGTACTAATATACCCCTTAAATCAATTTGATATTTTCAATTTTAAAAATATATTATGTACTTATTATATTAAAATTAATCATAATTAAAATATTTAGTCTAATAATTGGGTACTAAAATAATAAATATATGTTGCATTTATTATTTTTTGAATTTTATTTTTAATTGTATATTTATAAGTAAAATAAGGGTATAATAGTAAATTAATATTAATATTAGGAATGAGAGTCTCAATCCCAAGGGGGCATTAGGGGTGTAAGAATTCAAGTCGAACCCGCCCGAGCCGACCCTACCTACCCGAAAATAGTGGGATTTTTTTTTCTTTTTGTGGTAGCAATAATGCCCAACCCGCAAAGTGCGGGTAGGGTCACGGGGCAGATTCAAAGAACCCGATATTGCCCCTACCCTGGCCGAATTTATCAGCACAAAGAAAGAAATCAGCCCAATTCTAACGTTTTCTTTGGCCCAATTCTAACGTTTTCTTTGACCAAGCCCAATTCCAATGTAAAGTCCCCCAATCTTAACATTTTCTCTGGGCAATGATAATGGGCTTAATTACAAGAACCCCAACGTGAAGGCCCCCAATCCCAACGTTTTCTTTGGCCAATGATAATGGGCTTAATTGCAAGAACCCCAACATGAAGGCTCAATCCGACCAACCCGGTCACCCCGAGGTAATCTGAAGGGTTACGGATTTGTTGGCTTAAAGAAGTGTTGCGGCCCAAATCTTTTTCACCCCGCACATTACGGCTCGGCCCAATTTCATGCCCAAGGCTGGTTCTACCCAGTCGACTTACAGGCCTAGGGGGCATGGGAGTTCCAATCATATTCCTCAATCCCAAATTTAAGTGGAATCCACCAATCTCACTCTCATTCCTTCCAGGATAAAAAAGAGCAAGTAAACATGTGATTGACTCCCATTCTTCAATCTTGGTAAGTAAACATGCCATAGTGGTGATATTAAAAAAGAGCGTTGAGGATCCTAAGGGTATGATTTTTGAGGATTCTTATGGTGTTTAAATCAGTATTTATTTGTAAAGTGTTTGGTATAAGAGTTCTAAAATTAAAATCATGATTCTGATTCAAAATTTTTATTTGTTTAAAAAAATAAGTACCTCGTATTTGAGTTTTTAATTTTAAATTTTATAGTTAAAATCTCTCAAAAAATATTATATATAATTTTTTATTACAGTTAAAATTTTTTAAAAAATAACACATTTTAATTCAAATTAAAAACTTAATCGGGCAAGCGAACGTGGCCTAAATTATACTTGTCATGAACATGATGTAGGCCGATAGGAAGCTCTTTCAAGTTCTCTTTTCCTTTTCTCGTCCTTTGTATTTCTGTGCTCTTTTCTTAACGTTCCTTTCCTTCTCCATTCTCTGAAAAAACAGTTAAAAAAAAATCCACTGAAAACCGAACCTTCTTCCTTACTCCGATCAAAATCAAATGATTTCAAACATCTAAAAAATCACGAAAACCCACCAAACTCAAATCCTCCGGCGATGGCGAACGTCTCGGTCGCCGCGGAGTGGCAGCTTCTCTATAACCGGTACTACCGGAAGCCCGAGCTCTACCGAATGGGGTGGCTCCACGTGGACCTGAGCCGCAACAGAGTCGCCTGCGCTCCTTTCGGCGGCCCGATCGCCGTCATCCGGGACGACTCGAAGATCGTCCAGCTTCACTCGGAGTCCGCCCTCCGCAAGCTCCGCATCTTCAACTCAGCCGGCGTCCTCCTCTCCGAGACCGTCTGGAAGAACCCCGGCGGCCGCCTCGTCGCCATGTCCTGGACCGACGACCAAACCCTCGCCTGCGTCGTCCAGGACGGTACCGTCTACCGCTACAACGTCTATGCCAAGCTCCTCGAACCCAACATCTCCATGGGGAAGGAGTGCTTCGAGCAGAACGTCGTCGACTGCGTCTTCTGGGGCAACGGATTGGTCTGCATCACGGAATCCAATCAGCTGTTCTGCATCTCCGATTTCAAGAACCCTAAGTCCTCTCAATTGGCCGATACCGGGATCGAGGAGCCGCCGCATTGTATGGCGGTGATCGAACCGCAGTACACGATGTCCGGAAATGTGGAGGTGCTGCTTGGGGTCGGGGAGGCCTATGTATTGGCTGTGGAAGAGGACGGAGTTCAGCAGCTAGGGTTTGAGGTTCTGCGCGGGCCTCTGCAGAAAATGGCGGTCTCGTGCGACGGTCAGTGGCTCGCGTCGTTCACGCACGACGGACGGCTTTTGGTCTTGACCTCTGATATGCGCCAAGTCATTATGGAGCAAGAATGTGAAGTAAATTTCTGAACTTTTGTTATGCTGAATTCGCAATGTGTTATTATTCCTATTTTTTGGGGAAAAAAAAATTCTAAACGTTATCTGTTATAATGATGAGAATTATCAATGCTGTGTTTGAATGTGACTGACTATGAGATTGGTTAAAAACCAATGTTGATAAAAATTGATTGTGATGCATAGTAATTAGTGGTGCTCATTTCTCAATGATGCAATTATGTTTGAGCTAATTGAAAATGCAAATTTGTAATGTGAATTGCGAACTCTCAAAATTGATCTCCACTGTTCTTGATATGGTCCATCTTTGTCCTGGTTTTGTGTCTAGTTTTCACTATGAGTGTGGCATGTACTGCCTGTGTTTTAAGTTTATTAAATTTCGCCTTATACAGTCGGCCCTTCCTCCGGAGCAGCTGTCATGGTGTGGGATGGACTCTGTGTTGCTTTATTGGGATGACATGCTCTTGATGATGGGGCCTATAGGGGATCCAGTGCGCTACTTTTACGATGAACCAATAGTCCTTATCCCCGAGTGTGATGGGGTGAGGATATTGTCCAACTCAAGTATGGAATTTCTACAACGGGTTCCCGATTCCACCGAGTCTATCTTTAAGATTGGAAGCACATCGCCTGCAGCTTTATTGTATGATGCGTTGGATCATTTTGACAGACGAAGTGCCAAGGTAGACTTTTGGGCAAACAAAAACAGTTGCCCTCTATTAGTTAAGGCAAACCACACTACGGTATCAGCATTTTAATTGTTTATTTGCATAATTTTTCATCATTCTGTTTATCTTTTATGTTTTGTGCTGTGACCTGTCTAAGGATTTATTTTTCGCTTCATAGCAGATTACTTATGCTCATATTTAGAGTTTATCATGCGGGGGGCAAGAATGTCTTTAGGAGCATCTGATTCTAATATCCCTCATGATAAATGTCTGATTTCATGTTGTTTATCAGGCAGATGAAAATTTGAGATTGATTGGGTTGTCCTTGCCTGAGGCTGTTGAAGCATGTATTGACGCTGCGGGTCATGAGTTTGATATTTTGCGTCAACGAACATTGTTAAGAGCGGCAAGCTATGGACAAGCCTTTTGCAGGTTAGTCTGCTTTGATATTTCGGTAGCTGTTGAACTTGAAAGAAATTATTCATCACAAAAATTGAAAAAAAAAAAAAAAACTTGGAGTGATTGTGAGTGTTTTGCATAGTGTTTTCTAGATTAGGGCTAAAATATTATACTTATAGTCAAATAGAATAGCGTCAATTCATTTACATGGATTTGCGCATGTGCTTGTGAAGATTCAAACGGTGTATCCATGCCATTCTTGCCTGAAAAGTTGAGCTTGTAGTACTGTTCTGAAATTGTGCCCCTTTTAGCATCTAGAATATGCAGAAGAGCAAAGATTTTTTTATTTTATTTTTGTTCTCCCATTAATGATATCCAGTTGGCTTTGGCAGCAATTTTCAACGTGATCGGATTCAAGAGATGAGCAAAATTTTGCGAGTCTTAAATGCTGTTCGTAACCATGAGATTGGCATCCCACTTAGCATACAACAATATAAGGTCCCCACAGCTTACTGTTTAAGTTATTGGTTTAAATCTTCATTGCTCAATCTTGTTTCTTGTTCCTGTAATGAATAACTTGTTGCCTGCAGTTGCTTACACCATCTGTTCTGATTAGTCGGTTGATTAATGCCCACCAACACCTTCTTGCATTACGGATCTCAGAGTACCTAGGCATGAATCAAGTAAGATTTTAGACACTAATACTTGGACATTGTAATACTCTATAGCCCGTAGCCACTCATTTTTCTACTAATTTAGCTTCTTCATGACGTTGATATGGGTTTTCGCCTTCTATTTGGATTGTACAAGCAGCTCAGCAATTTATATTCTTTTCTCTAATTGGCTTGATATAGGAGGTGGTGATAATGCATTGGACCTGCTCGAAGATAACTGCTTCATTGGCAATTCCTGATGCCGTTCTCCTTGAAATTTTACTTGATAAGGTCAATCTTCCTGTTTCTTATTAGCGGAAAAGAAAAAACAAAAAATTGAAAAGAAAGAAATCTTGTTTGATATTTCCACTGTATTGTTTAAGAAATAGCCGTTTAAAATTTGAATTTTTTATTGTTTTTTCAGTTAAAGTTGTGCAAAGGGATATCATATGCAGCAGTTGCTGCTCATGCTGATAAAAGTGGCCGTCGAAAGCTAGCTGCCATGCTTGTTGAACACGAACCACGTTCCTCAAAACAGGTCCTTTTATGTTAATTTTTGTCTTCTTTTCTATGTTACCTAAAGAGTAAATATGAAACTACATATATATATATATATATTTATGTATGCATTTTGGGTGAAAAGGACTTCGTTTTCCCCTTAAAAAAGGACATGGTTTTGCTTTCAGTTGCTAAATTCTATTGCATTCCAATCAGAAGAGCATATTATTAAAACATTGCTCGTGTAAGTCTTTTTTCTCACTAGTCTTTTTCTCCAGGTTCCTCTGTTGTTAAGCATAGGAGAAGAAGATATAGCTTTAATCAAGGCAACTGAATGTGGTGATACTGACCTTGTTTATCTTGTTCTTTTCCACATCTGGCAAAAGGTTATACTTCATAATAAATTTTCTTTTATAATTTTGTTGTATTTATATCATTTTTTGGTTGATATTCAAAAATTAATTTGTATTTATGTTTATGCAGCCAGATTCAGTAAAAAGATTCAAATTAAATGGGAAACAAACAAAAATTTCTAGTTAGGTCTGCAGATGTATTTCTTCATCCAATTAAAGTTTTATGCTTTCGTTAATGTAGAGGCAACCACTGGAGTTTTTTGGAATGATACAGGCCAGAACCCTAGCACGTGATTTATTTATAGTGTATGCACGGTGAGCATAATTTGTTTTTTCTTAATTTGGTTTTCCATTTTATATTACGTTTTGCATGTTCTGAAGTTTTCAGGTGAATTTGTTCTTGTACAGAATTTATGTACTTCTCGTGTGCATGACATGATGCTGGTTCTTTTTCTGTTCTTTTTTCCTTCCTTCCTTTCTTTTCCCCCCTCTTATCTTTAGGTGCTATAAGCAGGAATTCTTAAAGGACTACTTTCTATCAACTGGACAGCTTCAAGTAAGTTCTTTTTTTTTCGGGGGGGGGGGGGGGGGGGGGGGTGGTGGGTGGGTGTTCTGTATCTATGTCCATCTTATGTGTATAAATGTACATAAAATAGGAGAAACATTCTAAAGAATGTTCTGTAGAGATTAGGAAGGGGGGGTGTTCTGTATCTATGTCCGTCTTATGTGTATAAATGTACATAAAATAGGAGAAACATTCTAAAGAATGTTCTGTAGAGATTAGGAAGTTTTGAATTCGTTGTGATACCAATATGGACAAGGGCAAAACATATCGTCTGTAAGTCCTTGTCCAATATATTATTTGTAAGTGGAGCAGTCTGTTTTCCTTGAAATGAAAATTTCCACTGTGCTACTACCACTCAAGTATTGTTTCTTTTATTTTGTACTGAATTGGAAAGTGATTGGGCTTTGTAGTTTTAAACCAACCTTATATCGGATGTACAGAGATAATTTTCAAGTGTAAAATCTTCAACTGCTTGCTTTATGAATTTGCTGTTAATGCCTCTCATGAGACATTATTGTGCATAAATTTTCTGTTGGCATTGTAGGAGGTCGCTTTTCTTTTGTGGAAGGAATCATGGGACCTTGGACAAAATCCAATGGCAAGCAAGGGATCCCCACTTCTTGGTCCACGTATAAAATTGATTGAGAAGGTGCAAAACCTGTTTTCAGAAACTAAGGAGCATACCTTTGAGTCAAAGGCTGCCGAAGAGCATTCAAAACTTTTGAGGTCAGATATGGCTAATTTTAGACACTCACCTTTGTTTGATTTAACTTAAAAGTTTATAACATCAAGAACAGTGCCACTTTCTTGCATCAGGGGTTCAAGATAGAGCATCTTCTAGTGGTTCAACTTCACACAATTATGTTATGTGGTTTCTAGTAATTTTATGGGTCAAGTTTTAGAAACTTTGGTTTCAATTTTTCTTTGACTTTGTTTTTCCCTTCTTGCACATGAGTTTTTCATTGCTGAGGAGAAACCGGAAGCTGGATCAGAGATCCATCGGAGAAATTTCCATATCCATTAGGGTGTAACGATAATTTTCTCTATAAATTTTATGTTTCTGCAGAATGCAACATGAGTTAGAAGTGAGTACAAAGCAGGCTATTTTTGTTGATTCAAGTATTAGTGATACAATTCGCACGTGTATCGTCTTGGGAAATCATCGAGCTGCAATGAAAGTGAAAACAGAATTCAAGGTTTGTAGCTTACACATTCCAACCAGCAGAACGGGCTTGGAGAAGTGTGTTGAGGGGAAAGGGGTTCAATTTGTATCAGGAATTGTTGGATAAAAGTAGATATAAAATTGTCACATTCTGTAACAATAATGGCTTCTAATTGCGTCAATTCGGCTGCAATTCAAAATTTGCGAATAATGATATCTTTGTACTCACTTTACATTTGTCTCAGGTTTCTGAGAAGAGATGGTATTGGCTAAAAGTTTTTGCTTTGTCTACTATCAGAGATTGGGATGCTTTAGAAAAGTTCTCAAGGGAAAAGCGACCGCCAATTGGTAAGATTTCTCGCTCAATTTTTTTTATATATGAGAAAACAAGATAAATCATTTTATTTTGGCAAGTATGCGGTGCTACTGGCTTGTGGCTTTTTATAAGGGATTTGGCTTCCAATCATCAGAGACCTGACACTAATTTCACTTCTCTCTCTTTTTTTTTTTTTTTTTTTTTTTTGGGTCTTGCACTATTTTTCCCATGTACCTCGGCTCTTACATGCTAACCCCGCCTCCCCTCGGCTTCTGGAGAAAAAGAAGCCAAATACACACACCCAGAGGCACTCAGCATACATTTATGACCATTGAATTAAATCTTCCCCCTCCCCCATCCTCTTTTTTTTTTTCCCAATGGTGAGTCTATATGCAAGTACTTTTGCTTCTTTCTGGCCACTTCATGACAGAAGTTCAATTCCTTTCTGGCAGGTTTTAGGCCATTTGTGGAAGCATGCATTGAAGCAGATGAAAAGGGGGAGGCCCTAAAATATATCCCAAAGCTCACCGATCCTCGAGAGAGAGCAGAGGTACAACCTATGCCCCACTCAACATACATGCATAATAAGGATTCTATACACGTAATATCTGCTAACTAGTGTTAAACTATTACTTCTATCTACTGGATGCACTTTCTTAAAGCTATCTTTGATTTTTGCAGTCTTATGCACGGATTGGCATGGCAAAAGAAGCTGCCGATGCTGCCTCTCAGGCTAAAGACGGTGAATTGCTGGGACGACTAAAATCAACATTTTCGCAGAATGCTGCAGCCTCATCTATTTTTGATACCCTCCGGTCATCTTTTCAAGGAGTTTCATAGGCTTCTAAGTTATTTAGTTATTCTCACTTTGTCCTTTTCAACTTTGTCCGCGTGCATTGTGTGCATATTTAATTAATCTCATGGTTCTAATCCATAAACAAAACGGGTAAGAAATCCAAAATTTACTTTAATAACTTTTCTCCCCTTTTTTTTCTATTATTTGTTTCTCCGCTCCTTTTGTTGGTTCCAAACATGAGAAAGCACTCCCTCAAAAAATTTTTTTTTTCCTCTTTTCCTCTCTAAAATCTAGATTCCAAACGACCCCTTAACAAAAAAAAAAAAAAAAGAACAAAAAAAAAAATAATAATAATAAGAAAATCCCCGTTGTCCCCTGAACATTTTAGCTTTTACGACTTGAGGAGTTCACTTAAACTTTTAAGTTCTGATAATTATCTTCGAATTAAATAAAATATCTTCAATTGAGCATGTTCGAAGGAAGAAATTAAAATCAGGGATGATGATGGGGCACATCTTATAGCGCTTCCTTTGTAAATTTACCGAAAAAAGATCTTTTTGTAAATTTGGGAATACTCCGCAATTATTAAATTCAGGAAGTAATTTATCAAAATTAAACTCGCCTATCCACTAAAACATCCAGGGAATGAAAGCGCCAAAAGAACCGGACAAACGACCACATAATTCTAGTGAAGATCATATTATTGACAAACGACCACATACATGCGCTTGCAAAGGAAAGTTTGTCAAGTTTCATATACCACGTTACCATACTCAAGTTCCCAACGCTCTCTTGAGGTTGACAGGCAAATAAATATGAAAATTTAATTTGATAAAAAAGTTACAAAGATAGAAATTCGTGATTGGTTTTCATTGCTAATAGTAAAATCAGCTTCATGAATATACACGATGCAATTCCGGAAGAAGCAATAACTTTGATGAACAATAACAAGCAGATGCCAATGACAGACTTGCTTATCCCGTCACCTTCAGACTTGCATAGGCTGAATTCTCATATTTACCATCCCACCTGTCAATTTTTTATCCAAAAGATTGCTGAAGCAGTTTTATCGAAGTAATTAAATATACGAGGGCGAAGAGTGAAGAAAAGAAAAGGATGGGGCCTAGTTAGTAGTTACCTGCACTCTTCCTTCTCTGGAATCTGAAGCTCCAAATTTTCTTCGAACGGCTTAAATACTAGGTCTATTTTCTCATCATCCACTTGGTCTAGAGTTGGTGGATCCCACTATAACAATTAAAAAAAAAAAAAATCAATCTATATCATTAACATAAAAGAAGGGCATATCATGTCATCTTTGAATATAGCTTGCTTTTTTTTTTTTATTTAATTATTTTTACTTCAAAATCGATCATATTCAAGCACCACATATGTTGGGAATCAAATCAATCTGGTTTAGACATACAACACACACACAAATATATATATATATATATATATATATATATAGAGAGAGAGATAGAGAGAGAGAGAGAGAGAGAAAGAAGACAAGAAAGCACCTTGGGAGAATTATCCTTGTCAATGGTGAGAGCTCTAATTCCCTTTCCATCAAGACAGAAGATAAGTTTATCTCAGTTCATGAGCGGTGCAGTCATTGAGTATTTCTCAAACTTGATTGCACATTGTAATAAAGTTTTGGGAATCAATATATTCATAGCTGAAAAATTACCTCATACACATCAGCAGATATGGTGGATCGTAATATGTTTATGGTTAGTCTAAATTCCTTCTTCAGACACTCGGACAATGATTGCTTCCTTCCTTCACGAATCTGTAGAGTTACAAATTAGAGCTAACAGAAGCATGAATCCGCTTTGCATCTATTCCAAATATAAACTAGGAGAGATATTTACTGATCTAAGTGTGATTTTTAATCCAGTTGGGGATGATCTTTTCAGCCCTTTTAGAACCGGGCCTATCCATCCATTTCCTTCTTTTCTTGACTCTACTTCCTGAAATTATGCTTCTGTGTCATGGACCAGCCTAGGGAATACATAAACAAACTATATAGTATAACAATGTAACTCCAAAAACAACCGATAAGATTAAAAAGGATATTACAAATGATTCTATAATCTCAGCCACAGTATCCTTGGAGAAGCACTCATCAATTATTGACTGCCTGAAAGGGCAGCAAAACTAAGTTAAATAACATGGATATTGGACCGGAACCTTAAGTTTTCTTAAAGATCATGTGAAAATAAAAGCTAAACATTACTTTTTGAGTTATCTTACTTGTTTAAGACACTGTCTTCATCAGGCTCAACTTCCACTGAAAATTCTTCAATTGCTGATTTGACTGCATCAGCGTTCCCAGAATTTAAACTCACCAAACGCTTCTCCAGCTCAGGAATTTTCTATTGTGCAAAGAAAGTAAAGTCAAATCTTGTGCAAAGAAACAACAACAAATATGAGATTATGCAATGTGAACATATGATAGACTATTTAAAAGAATGGTTACAACGAACCAACAAAGAAAGAAGCTAGTGTTATAATTGTAACAAATTAAATACCCTAATCCTTTACTAGTGGGAATAATAATATAAAAGAAAAGACAAACAGGAACACACAAGATCTATAGCGATTCACCCACAATGCGAGAGACATGTCCCTTCTTAGTTGCAAAATTTGACTATGAAGACAAAGAAGACCCCACACCCCTCAACCTCTCAGACTCTTTGTTTATCAAATACAAAAATCAGCACCCCTAATATAAGAAAAACTAGGACAACCAAACATGCAAGTGTGAAAACCCCAAACAACTCCCCCGCATACGACTCTACATCAGGGCAATAATTAGGTCCACACGCTGAACAAAAATTCCACCAGCGCATACAGGATTTCAATTCTTAGGGAATAAATTGAACTTTTATCTCCATTTATATGTTGGATCATAAAGATTGAAGAGAGCTGGTTCTATTGTAACATTTTTTCCATAATTATGAGTATGTAAGGGTAGCTGTAGGACAACATTCTGAGCATTGGTTCCAAGATTTTAGTTTCAGACTTAAGAGACGCGCAACTTCATTGCTCTCTAGTCTCTAATTTACCTCAAAAGGAACGAAATGAGTCGCCAGTCCGGCTGCAACCAATTCTTTACCATTTAACCTTGCTCCTGTTAAGGCCAAATATTCACCTGCATGCACACCGCACATGTTAATGATTGATAGAAAAGAAATTGCAGAAGATCCTTTCCCCTTATGTAAGCATGCTTACCCAAACGCCCAGGGAGATGAGAATGGATGTATGAGAAGCCACATTCAGTATGAAACCCAATACTTGCTTCTGGAGTAGCAAAGACCTATTCAGAAGAGCAAATAGCAATTCACAAATGAACATCAAGAAGAAAAGGGGGCAGGAGATACAGATCTATAAGTGAAGCCCAAAACCAAAGACACAAATGTATAAAGAAACAAGAACAAGGACCAAGTTCCCACAGTTTTTTCTGTGACAACCGAGAACTTCAATGGGACCATTAACGATGCACCTCCACCTATCGATATTCCATGAGCAAGAGCAACCTGTTGATAAAAAACAACATCTCAATGTTACATTCTTTCACAATAGTTAAGGACTTCAGAAGATTTTCAGGAACATTTGTTTCTATCACAAATTCCCATGGTGAGATTTCTGTTCCATTTAATTACCTGGGTTTTCTTGTATGTATGAATGTGATTGCAAAGCCAATAAAATCTATAAGCCACTTCAAGGCATGAATCCTCTGCCACAGAAAAGTACATCACAAGTAAGTTTGCTTTCTACACTTGCAATAATCTCTGTCAATCTCCCATCTGTCTTGTTTTTTCTCTTAGAGATGCGCGCACAAAATAGGATTTAGGATTTTTATAATGCTGTTTGGTGTTGAATGAAAATCTTACTTTGTGTCCTGCCATCATAAAACATTCTTAAGTCTCCACCAGCTGAAAAAGCCCGGCCCGCTCCCTGAAGACAATTAGGGACTAAACTGTATTAAGAGTCTAAATTTATGGCTACAATGTATATGTCAAAGCCAAATATCTAATCAAGACCATACCATAACTTGAACCAGACTAGGAATTTGTTGTTCGAAATCAGGAAGCAATTAACTAACCTTGATTATAACAAGCTCAGCGTTGTCATCTTTTTCCCACTTTTCCAAGTATTCTGCTATCAGAGAAACCTTTTTTTATAACAAAAGAATAAATAATTTAGAGAGCGAACCAAGGAGGCCAAAAAAAAAAAAACACCTGCCAAAAGAAATGGGTGAAATTTGCTGAGCAATGAGCATACCACTCTTGAAGAGATGATATTCAAATGACGCGGCCGGTTCAGCGTGATCAATCTCACGTGCTCTATTTCTTCTCCAAGAAGAACCTAATAATCAATTACAACAACATCCTTATTCTGATCAACATACCATTTTCTGGTTTCAGCAGACATTTGCAAGAACTTAATAGACCAAATAAAATCCAAATGGAAAAATACACGCCAAGTACTTCAGTACAATTGCGCGGACAATTATTCAAGCGTTGTAGACAAATTGATATGAACCAATGAAATTTAGTCGTTTCTTTTCAGACTCAGATTAAAAAAAAAATATCAAAAATTTTGACCATCATCCAATGTTTGAAAATGCATAAAAATATTAATAGGTAAGTACAAATGCGACTAGAAAGCAAAAGAGAATTACCTCTTCACTTGTATTTGCCACTTCCTGCGCCATTTATATGTGCAGTTGACTTTGAAGTCAACAAGCTGCAGAAAATCCTTATAAAGGTCATGAGAATGCCAACAAACTAGATAAATGATGAAGAACATGGATGACCGAAAACATTACAAATCTGAAATAACTAAACTAATGGGCAATCTGAATAAGGCATCTTATGCATTCCAATTCTTTAAACAGAAAGTTGAAACTTCTGGATTTGGAAGATTAACGTAATACCCAACAGAGAAAGAATAACAATGACTCAAATATACTGTATAAAATGAAACAAACATGAAGAAAATGAGAGCTAAATTCATTACTCAACTGAACCCAGAAAACGGTGAAACAGGAGAGAAGATTAACAGAAATAGCAGAAGTTGCACTTTAATTATATGTATTGGAGAAGAAGAGAGAAAACGCAGAAGTTGGTGAGTGACGAATTGAGTTTATGGAGAGAGACTTGGAAGGGTAGCTGCTGAGTTTGGTCGGTTTGGTAGGTACGATGGACCTCGTTAGATTAGTTTTATTCCTATACGCCCACCTACCCAACACCACACTATACACTTTAACAATTTTTTTTTTTTTGAGAGACACTTGTTGTAATGAATGAATTTATCATGGACTTGTTTTCAAGTTTCTAAACTTAAACTCAAATTATTGAACACTAATTTTTCTATTCTTAAAAATGCTATAATTTTTTCGTTTTAATTCCGATTGAGATGATTATTTTTCTATGTATTTACAACGAAGAGACGAATAAAATTTCACCCATATACTCTATTAAAATTTTTCATCACCATTGAGTTTTTATTAAAATGCTATTTAAATACAAATTTAAGTTTTGACCCACCCAAATACAAACTCAAATAAATTCTCAATTCAAACCATAACTCAAATGTGCACATTCAAATACAAACTCAAGTTACAATTTCAACTCAAATTTAACTCAAGATCTACATTTAAGTCACCATAACTCAAAAATGCAATCGAACAAGCCCTAATTTATTTGAAAAAAAATTAGAAAACACACTCCCTCAAGTTAATGAGTAGTATTTTTAAGAATAGAAAAAATATTGTTTATTAATTTAAGTTTGAGTTTAAAAACTTGAGTTGAACGGGGAACTTAAACTCAGATTTTAACATCAAACTCAAATTAAAACTCTACTTAAAACTAAATTTTACAAAAAAAAAATATGAATTTAAATAAAATTGTAACTTCAATTCAAACTTTTTTTGAGTTTTTTCCAAAAGAATAAGTCCTTAATATTGCATACATTTTTTATATAATATATATAACATGTATATTGAGGCGAAAACGGGTGAAGATTGCTTCATCCATTCCTGTTCTGGCATAATTCAAGGCGAAGATGGGTGAAGATTGCTTCATCCATTTCTGTTCTGTCATAATTCAAGAATAAGATTTTGTTTCATTCCCATCCTCAATTATTATCCTCTATCCCCGTCCCGTTCAGGTGGATCCCTAATTTCTGGGCGCCTTTCATGGGCAGACCTCTTCACTGGTCATGGCACAGTCTTAGCATTGCATTGCCTCTATTATGGGGGTGGATCTCAGTGGGTGCTCCCACTGATATTGTGTGTGTGTGTTTTTCAGTCTTGTATGTACTCTGGAAGTCCGCCAGTGGTTTCTTTCTTTCATTGCATGCCACTTGTTCTGATGTCCTCTTATATGGAGCCGTCTTGAAATCGAAAGTGTAGTCCGTGTGGCTCAAGACTTAAGTCTTAGTTTTAATTTTTATTTTGATGTAAAAAAGACAATGTCGATTCCTCGTTTCAACGTTTATGTTTTTATTGTATAAAAAAGTTACGCCACTTGCCACACCCTTCTATTGTGGTAGGTCTAGTCCTCTAGCTTTGATCATTTGCGTGTTGTGAGTGATCTTATTATTTTAAGGTTTTTTTTTTGCCACAAAATTCAGAAAAAATTTGAATTCGAGTTATAATTTTATTCAAGTTCATGTTCTTTTGTAAAATTTAAGTTTGAACTCGAGTTTAGGGCTAAACTTGAGTTCAAGTTTCCCCTTCAACTTGAGTTTATAAACTCGAACTCAAGTTAATGAATAATATTTTTTCTATTATTAAAAATGACATAATTTTTTCGTTTTAATTCTGATTGAGATGATTTTTTTCTATGCATTCACAACAAAAAGACGAATAAAACCATACCCACATACCTTATTAAAATGTTTCATCACCATTGAGTTTTTATTAAAATATTATCTAAATATAAATTTAAGTTTTAACCCACCTAAACAAAAACTTAAAAATGCAAAAGAATAACTCTAAGTCTTTTGATCTCAATCGACTAGTTTTATCCATTGACTGTAACTTTATCAAATGAGTTACTGTCACGCTTGAGTATTACCGTTTCAAGCGATTTTTTCTCCAATGGGTCTCAATATTCGGATTTGTCTTTCTGTCTCATTTGTCTTTATTGGTAAATCAAGTCTTTATTTGTAGTCGAATACTATTACTTTACTGGTCATTTGTGACAATATTAGAATCTAAATCGACTTAATAATTAAATAAAATTTCACCATTCAAAAAACCCTATCACGTTTTGCTTACAAAAATTTTTATGATCAGAAATTTTCCTTTTCACTGTTGTTAAGTATTATTATTGCAGTTGGATTAATTTTTTAACGGCCTCATTTATAAATTATATTATTTTATGTCGTACATGAGTTTTTAATCTGAACACTCAGCCCATTAAGAAATTTATTCAAGTCAGTAAAAATTCCCTCATCTTACAGCTAGAGGAATCTCCTGATTTGGAGAAACTTGTGGAATTGATTCTACTGTTGGCAAAGAGAAATCCCATTGTACTTGATGCCATCGGCGCAATTTTGTTCTTAGGCCCCCAGTATATATTATAGAGTGAAGATGTAGACTTGGAAAAATTGGATGTTTATGTGAATTTCTTCTTATTTTTTCAGTGTTTTGACAACCACATATAAATGTATGCAACTCTCGGACCCCTCCCAAATCAAAAACTCTCAAACCCCAACGACTTCTTTTACTGTGTTTTGATAGATGCAGACACATTTTATAAATATATATATATATATATATATATAGAATAATAGAAACGTTTCAAGATTGATTGCATACACTTATTTGAAAAGGTAAGACGTCTTTGCTGACAATTGTATTTCCAGACGACAAAGACTAATTTGGACTATTTCTTCAGTTAATGCGTATTTCTCACCTCCAGCGAGTACATTAAAAAAAATACTTAAGACAAAAAAACTACAATAGAACAGCTAAAAATAGTGAATGAATGCTATAAAACTATAGAAAACATTTCTAGCAATTAGGAATTGTATTGTTCGTTCATTACGTACAGAGTAACAGGGATAATACCCCACCCTATTTATAGGGAATAAAATAGCAAGAAAAAGGAATAAATGCAAATAGGAAATAAACTAAAAAAATAATGGAAATTACCTAATTAATGAAGAGAAAATTTCTGAATTAAAAGTACATGGATCTAAATTTTTTACCTCTTGATAACCCTTTTGACTAATATAATACTAATTAAAAAATGTATTAATCAAGAATAAAGAGTAAAAATTAAGACTTATACAATTTAAATGAGTATATATCTCAATTTCTCTCAATAATGAGTAACGTAATGGAACTCTAAACAATATTCGGAAAGAATCATAAATTAAAAATTGATATTTCTAACATTTCCTTGTGCACCTACTCGACAATAGAGGTGGTGGAACATCTTCGACAACAATCTTCAATGGGGTTTTGGGATTAAGGCGCTCAATGGGACCAAAGAAAAAAAGAGATCAAGAGATATCAAAGAATTTTACATGATCTTCATTTTCACTTGGTTCAAATTTGGATTGTTTAATCCAAAAAAAAAAAAAAAAAAAAAAAAAAAAATCATCATATTATACTCTCAGAAGGAAGCG